CTCCCTCCTCCCTGTCTCTGGGAGGCTGCAGGGCGCTTCCGAACCTACAGCAGATGGGACCATCTGCAAGGGAAGTGTCCATGGGGAATTTGCCCCCATCAGCCTTTCGGAGATGAAAACAGGCCGAAACCGGTTTGGCTCAATGGATAGAGTGTCCGGCCTGCGGATTGAAAGGTCCCAGGTTCGATTCTGGTCAAGAGCATGTTCCTTGGTTGTGGGCACATCCCCAGTGGGGGCTGTGCAAGAGGCAGCTGATCGATGATTCTCTCTCATCAATGTTTCTAACTCTCTATCCCTCTCTCTTCCTCTCTGTAAAAAAAAAATCAATAAAATAAAAATAATATATATATATATATATATATATATATATAGAGAGAGAGAGAGAGAGAGAGAGAGAGAACAGTACTCGCCACTATTGATGGAACACCTACTGTTTACTAGGCATGCGTGTTCCACCGCTGTGGGCATTAGCCAGATTTGATGGTTTGTGGAGAAAGTGAGGCTCAGACAGGTTAAGTAACTTGCCCAGGATCACACAGCGATGGTGTGACAGAGATGGAATTTGAACCCGGGTCAGCAGGATGCCAGAGCCCTGAGTGGGTCCTGGCCTCAGGCCAGTGGAGGGAGGAATGTCTCCAGGCCTGTTTCTCTCTCAGCCCCAGGAGAGAAAGGAAACCGAGGTGTAGGAACTGCAGGGGCCAGAGAGGAGGGGCGTGTGCACAAGAGGCTGAGGAGAGGCTGAGGAGCTGGACTCTGTCACAGTCTGAACGGGAGGTACGTGACCCAGAGAAGCAGAAAGGAGCAGTGGGACACTCATCACAGTCCTTGGGCCTCTCAAGTGTTGTCTTTCTGAAGCCATCTCCCCCTTCTTCATTTCTGCTCCACAAACCCGTCAGGCTGGCTCGCCCCTCTGCCCCTCTGCCCTCTCCCATTCCTCGTTTTCACTCTTGGCCTTTGCACTAGAGCCAGTGGTCAACATGTTCATCTCTCCTTTGACACCAGGAAATTTTGAAGGCAGGGACGATGCCACTCCTTGCCCTGGCCTCAGGGCCAATCCTGGGGCTTGACACAGGAAATGCCTCAGTGGAGGGTTGCTGAAATGCATAGGGCAGGGATGGGGAATGTGTTCAGGGATTCGCCTCACCTCAGATGGAGAGGAAACAACAGCATGAGGGACCTAGGTTTTCCCTAAGAAAGAACTTTGAGCCCTACCCAGGTAGCTCAGTTGGTTAGACAGTCATCCCAATATACCAAGGCTCTGGGTTTGATCTGATCAGGGTACATACAAGAATCAACCAATGAATGCATAAACAAACCTCTCTCTCTCTCTCCCTCTCTCTCTCTCAAATTAAAAAGAAGAAAGAACTTTGAAAGCTGGAGAATTATGCTGAAGCCTTGATTCAGACCCACAGATTCTGAAGATCACAGTTTCTCCAGACTGGCTGCTGTATATTAAAGGTTTTGAACAGTTAATAAATCTGGGTCCCACCCCCAGATTCTGATTGAATTGGTCTCCAATGGGGACACAGCATCAGCATTTTAATTTTTTATTAATTTTTCACAGAGAGGAAGAGAGAGGGATAGAGAGTTAGAAAGATCGATGAGAGAGAATCATCGATCAGCTGCCTCTTGCACACCCCCTACTGGGGAGGTGCCCGCAACCAAGGTACATGCCCTTGACCGGAATCAAACCCGGGACCTTTCAGTCCGCAGGCCGGACGCTCTATCCACTGAGCCAAACCGGTCCCGGCAGCATCAGCATTTTAAAAAGCTCCCCAGCTGACTCAAATGTGCAGCCTGGGTTGAACCATTGTCAGATTCTGCCCCGATTCAGCTGCACTGGTGGTTTACCACTGGACCCAAACGTCAAGGCTAATATACTTTTTGAGGATTTACTAAGTTCAAGCGAATGTGCCAAGCACTTTCTATGCATTATCTCATGTAATCCACAGTAACTCCTGCGAAATAAATATTATTCCCATCTTACAGATGAGGAAACTGAGTCAGAGAGGTCCTGCCCGGGTTAGTGAATGGCAGGACCGGGTCTGGAAACTGAAATTCCCTGAGTCACATCTTTTCTCTTCCCCCGGACTCCCCCTGAGGCTGCTCGTTGGCCTCAATCAGTCCTTGCCTGCCTCCACCTCACCTCCTCACCTTGCTTCCACCCACGCTGCTCCCTCAGTAACATCCCAGGTGACTGAAGCAATCTGCAGCCATTTCAAGAAGCTCTGTATGTCAGTCACTTAGCCTGCGAGGGTGGGGAACTAAGGGAATTGCAGATGCTTCAAGATGGTCCTCTCATCCCCTGAGGACACTAAGAATTCAGGACCCGGACTGTCCATTTCTCCCTTGGCTCCCTGTTTAGGTCACTCCCGAACGGAATTCCCACTCCCAGAAGCCTCACTGGGTTGACTCTAAGTATCTGTGAGAAGGCTGCCACCCAGTGGTTGCCCAGGCACATGACAGCCCTCTGAGGTCGCCTGGTGCTGCTGGACAGCTCCCCAACTCAAGACCAAAACCCAAAATCCTCTTTTCCTTCTGGCAGCGCCAAACCCAGGCCCTAGGAAATGAATCCCATCCTTCCTCCTCCACAGTCCTAAGCCCACAGTTCCTCTAGGGATCTCCCGCTCTCCCCCTGACTTCCCATGTACCCCCTGCCCACAACCCCTCACAACTTCTCATCCCGTGTGCCAGCCCTTTCCCGGTCCTTAAAGCCCTGAGAACACACCTCTCACCTCCTTTCTCCCAGAGCTGTGCCAGCCTACAAGTGGAGTGAAGGAGCTGCTAGAGATAGAATTCTGGCCCCCCACACCCTCTCCTCATCATCTGACACCATCAGACCTCAACAGTTTCTGTGCTAAGAGCCTCTAATGAGCATCAGCAAATTAACAACTTCCCTTTGATTGCTCCTTCTCCGTTAATTGGATAGGAGCCCCCCTCCCCTCAAGACCTCTCAGAGAGAGAGGGAGGGAGAGAAGGAAGATGTGAGCTACAGGGGCAGCCCCAGGCCTGGGCTCAGGGCCCCAGAATTCTGCTCTGTCCTCTGAGTACAGCTCCCCATTCCAAGTCCTGTCCACCCTCCACCCACATAACCCCCCCCCCTTAACCCCCCTCTATTCTGTTTCCTTGTTTCTTGACTTCGGTCCAAATTCCCTTGATCTCTGCCTATGTCTCCTTCCTTCTCTCTGCTCCTTCTTTAGAGGTGGCATTAAGGGGTTGCAACTATGCTCCCCAAAGCTATAAGGATGGGGCTTGGGTGGCCAAAGCTGTGTGTTTGTTTATATATGTGCATGTCACATGAACATGGGATAGGCACAGAGGAATATGTGTAAGCTCCTGAGTGCCTGCCCTGCGGGTCAGGCCTGGGATGTGTGGGTGTGAGCGGTGTGCTGTGACTCTGGTCTGTATGTGTGCCTGTGTCTCCACACCGGCAAGTGCTTGAATCAGTCAAGTGTGACTCGGGATGTGTGTGTGTGTGTGTGTGTGTGTGTGTGTGTGTGTGTGTGTGTGCGCGCGCGCGCGCGCGCGTGCACGCACATGTGTGCCACCACAGGAGGCAGCAGCAAGAGGCAGGAGCATCGATCCGAAGGAGACGGAGCAGGGAGGGGGACGCTGGGGGCAGACACCCTCCCTCCCTCCCGCGAGCACGCGCGCGCGCGCGCACACACACACACACACACACACCACATACACCACACACACACACACACACACACACACAGTCACACACACACCGTAGGGCCTCGCAGAAAGGGACTGGCCGGGAAGAGGGGGCGAGGCGGCCGGGAGCCCCGGGTCTCGGTCCCAGGTCCGGGGGCCTGGCGCGCGCCCAGCGCGGAGACACCCTCGCAGACACTCGTAGGCGCGCACGCGCGCCCTCTCCCCTCCCCCTCGCCGCTCCTCCGCCGCCTCCCGGCCGGACAGACGATGGATCCCTGCAGATCCCGGCGCTGAGAGCACCGCGCACCGCGCCGAGCCCGGCGGACGGAGCCAAGGCGGGCGAGCGAGCGAGTGCGCGCGGGCGGGCGGACCGGGCTGGGCCGGGCCGAGCGGGCCGCTCCCTGCAGGGCTCTGCGCGGTGCCGCGGCGGCCGGCTCCCGCCCCGGGCCATGCGCCCCTCCGCGGCTCGGCGCTGAGCCCGCGTCCGGCCCCGAACCCCAGGATCGCCGGGTTCCCGAAGCCCCTCAAGGTGGGTCTCTGGTCCCCCTGCCTTTGGCTGAGGAAGCCAGGACTTTGCTCCCCTCTCGCTTTCCCCAGCTCCCGGGGCGGCGTGGTGGATTGGGAGGGGGGCGGGGGCCGAATGGGGGCTCTGGCTGCATGGAGAAGCTGGGCTGGAGGAGTGGGGGTGTTGCGTCCGGGGCGCGGACAGCTCGCTGTCTTAGGGAACCCCCCCATGTGTCCACCGCGGGCGGCCCTCCCCCCTCCCCAAACGTACACACATACAGCCTGCGGGTTAGGAGAACTAGAGGCGTCTGCAGGTGAGCGCTCAGCCTGGACTGCTACCCACCGCCCTGGGGGGTTTCCGGCCCAGGGTTAGCTCAGGAAGGAGTGGGGGGAGGCCACCACTGGGGACACCCTTGACCAGGAGCTCCTGACCCGGGTTCAGCCCATCTGAGGGAGTCTTCATCTCCAAGATGGGGTGGACATTCCTGTCCCAGAGTGACCCCATATCTGGAGGGAACTCCGGTGGTGTCTGCCTGTGGGAACACTGGGACTTCCCTCTCGCCCTCGGATGACTATGCCTGCTGTCTCCCCTGCCTGGGAAGCTTCCTTGGGAGAGCATTCTCCTGGCCTGAGCTGATCCCCAGCCCCTGCCTGTGGAGGAACCCCCTGCTGGGGGTATGTTCCTGGGCCAGCCAGCTCTGGGCTAGCCCCCCAGGGAGTCTGCTGTGACCTCTGGGGATGGAAACTTCAGATGCACGCCTTTGGAGGGACCCTTTATGTACTTTCACCCCAGGATAATACCTCCCTCCCCTCCCCTCAGGATCCCCTGGGCCAGGATGGAACTGAAGGCTGAGGAGGAAGAGGTGGGTGGAGTCCAGCCGGTGAGCATCCAGGCCTTCGCCAGCAGCTCCACGCTGCACGGCCTGGCCCACATCTTCTCCTATGAGCGGCTGTCTCTGAAGCGGGCACTCTGGGCCCTGTGCTTCCTGGGCTCGCTGGCTGTGCTGCTGTGTGTGTGCACGGAGCGTGTGCAGTACTACTTCAACTACCACCACGTCACCAAGCTTGACGAGGTGGCTGCCTCCCAGCTCACCTTCCCTGCCATCACGCTGTGCAACCTCAACGAGTTCCGTTTTAGCCAAGTCTCCAAGAATGACCTGTACCACGCTGGGGAGCTCCTGGCCCTGCTCAACAACAGGTGGGTGGCTCTCCCCCATCCCCCAGCCCGGCTCCTGGAGTTGCATGCACCCCAGCTCCCAGGCACCCAGTCCCTAACCCCATGAAACCCAGACAACCTCCGCCTCCCGTCCCCATCCAACCTGCCACACACTGCAAAGGAATCGGGGTACTGCTGAGCACTCAGTTAAGGGCACCCCATCTCTGATCACAGCGTAGTCCAGACCAGCCCTGCCCCCACCCGGCCTGAGCTGCAAGACATCACCACCCTCTTTGGAGTGACCCTTCCCCCACCTTCCTGCTGCTATGTCTTGATCTTCTCACTTAGGGGATGGGGACAGGTCATCTTTAACAGGTAGGGACTATGAAAGCCATGGCTCCAGCTTTGATCTCTCTGTCCCTCCACCCTCACCGCTGTGCTGAGATGCCCAGCCCCCAGGCAGCCACTACAGAGCCTTCTGCCTTCTCAGATCCTGTGGGGCAGGTCCTCTGGACACGCCCTGCTCTCTTCTCTGCCTGTGCCCAGACCTACCCACAGGGCTGAATACCGCCCTCCCCCCATCCCCTGGAGGTTGGGTTGACCCTGGAGTCCACAAAGAGGCAGGAACGGAAAATCATGCTGATCCATGCGCGGCTCGCCCCCGGGCCCCAGGTATGAGATACCGGACACGCAGATGGCCGATGAGAAGCAGCTGGAGATACTGCAGGACAAGGCCAACTTCCGCAGCTTCAAGCCCAAGCCCTTCAACATGCGCGAGTTCTATGACCGTGCGGGGCACGACATCCGAGACATGCTGCTCTCCTGCCAGTTCCGGGGGGAGGTGTGCAGCGCGGAAGACTTCAAGGTGGTGAGTGAGTCCCCTGGGGCGGTGGAGTGTGCGGAGTGTGAGTCAGCTCAGCCGGCCCGGAGGAGGAGACTGGGAGCAGGCAGTCCTGTCGTCCTGCTGGCTCCTCTGGGAGAGGACGCAGTGTGTCCCTGGGGCTTACGGGGATTTTGTCCAGCATGGGGTGCATTTGTTCTGAAAGAGTGCTGGAGCCTCGGCCTTGTGTCCATGATGTGCCACAACGCACAACACGCACAGGCACATGCACAGCCTGGCAGGGCCTTGACCCCATCAAGCTCGCCTTCTGCGCCACAGGTGTCAGCGCTGGGGGGTAGGGGCCGAGGACCATCCGCTGGGAGCTGGAAAGAAATGCAGACTTTACCAACCCCACCTCCTGATTCAGAATCTGCATTTTAACAAGATCCCTAGGTGACTTGAATTCAAGTCTGAGACGCACTGTGAAACATGAAAAGCAAGGAAAGCTTTCTGTTAAATAGTCAGATAGGTAATTCTCTCCGTGCCACCACTCCACACACACACACACACACACACACACACACACACACTCACACACCACATACACTGGACGTATACTGTCCAGTTGGGTTCCCCCTTGCCACCAAGAGCCACAGAGCCACACAGTCTGAGGAAGGAGAGATGTTTGGGCTACCCAGTCATGGTTGAACAGCAAGCTCCCTTTGCTTCTTAGAATGGAGATGCCCCATGGGTGGGCTGCCTTAGAGCCAGCACCCCAGAGAGGGTTAGGGGCACTCTCTGTCCCGGGTGATGCTAAGCAAGTCATACAGGTTCCTGAGGGCATAGAACCAGAAAGAGGCTGGAAAGGGACCAGAGGACCCGGAGTCGTGTCTGAAAAATAACAGTGAATGAGAGGACGGTGCTGGTACTCCTTCAGAATGCTTTCTAGACCCCTGCCATATTATCCCTGGACCAACAGCCATATTATCTCCATTTTATGAATGCACAAACTGAGAGGGAGAGGGAGCTGGTTAGTTACAGATTCGGGATTAGAATGTGTCTCCGTGAGTCCCAATGCAGTGCGCTCTTTTTGTTAACACTGCTGACCCTGGAGTCAGCGTATCTACTTCCAATTCTGGCCACCGCCCTTTGAAAACCCAGCCTCCCCTAGGAGCCCCTTGCTCTCCATGCCAGCCCCCAATTCTCCACTCTCAGAACCTCCCCTCTCTCCCTGCCCGTTTTCTTCCCTCCTTGCTCGCTTCCTCCCAGTGTTATGGGAGCACGAACTGCATCTGTTTGTGTAGAAAGGTTGAGCCTGTAAAAAGGTCATGCTTGTTTTTTCTTGCTGAGGTTACACAAGACTTCCCAATTTTTTAATTAAATTAAGTTTTTTAAAAATATGTGGATTTTTTTTATTTTAGAGAAAAAGGGAGAGAGAGAGAACATCGATCTATCGATAGGCTGCCTCCTGCAGCCCCCCTTCCAGAGACAGGGCGATTGGCCCTGCAGTTCAGGCATGTGTCCTAACCCGGAATCCCATCGGAGTCCTCTGGTGCCTGGGTCAATGCTCAATACTGAGCCACACCCACCAAGCAGACTTCCCAATCTTTTAAAGCCCCACTCTCCAGACTGGTTTTATGAGCCCTTGTTGACCTGCCAGACAAAAGTTACAGGATCACACGATTTGCTGAGCCAAGCTGATGGGGAGCTTAATGTGAGGCAAGAACCACTTTCTTCCCTCTTTCCCTTCCTCAAAACAGGGGAGTCCTGGTTCCCCAGAGCCTTCCCCTCAGGGTTCCCAAGCTCACTGTGCTCCCAAGAGAATATTATAGAACTGTTGGCGAAGGTGAAAGTGAAAGCCAAGGCCTTGCTCCCAACACACAAGCAGAAGGGACCACCAAGAAAGAGAAAACCCTCCCGCTGTGGATGGTTTGTGGTGCTGGGGGAGGGAGGGAAGGTGCTAAGGTATAAGATGAGGGTGCAGTTCGTCCATAGAGAGTGTTCCATTGCTCCATTCATTTCTCATGTCCAGAGAGATTCCAAGTGGTGATGCTAAGGCATGTTTTGGTTTATGGAAATGAAATTACTGGAATGTGATCATTCTATTTTGTCTAAGGGGACAGTTCTAATTATCAGATGGAGATATGCCTGGTTCAGAAAATTCTGGAGGAATCTGAGTTCTTCCTTTTGCTAGGAAAGAGATACAGGCCAGGAGCTTGTAGGCACTTCTTGGTCTGGGTTGTCAGGCAAGACCAGGTGTTTGCTGTTTCTGAGCTCTTATCAGAGAAGACCTGACCCTTAATCTGGCTGAACCCAAACCCCTCAGCCCCTTCTTCTACCCTCTCTGGTTGACCCCACTGCCGGATCCTTTCCATGTCAGGAACTCTATCACGTCTGCCCATTGGGACGTGCCTAATGGAGGGGACCCATGTTGTGAGCCATGTCTGACATCTCCCTGGTGGAGCGGGTCTGGCACTCCTCCAGCTCCCTGGTTCTAAGGGATGCAGACACTCCTGGCCTAATGCTCTGCTCTGTTTGTCTCTCTTTCCTTCTCTTTGTTAGTACTCATTAGAGAAAGTGGAAAGGAAGGAGGGAGGGGCAGAAAGAGAAACATCGATGAGAGAGAGAGAGAAAGAGACATAGATTGGTTGCCACCCACACGTGCTCCTACTGGTGCCAGGGATCAAATCTGTAACCCAGGTATGCGCCTTTGACAGGGAATCAAACCCTTGACTCCTCTGTGGGTGTGCAGGCTGATGTTCTAACCACTGAACAACACTAGCCAGGACTCTACGTTCTCCCTTCTCTCCTGGTCTCATAGTGAATAGCTGCCTTTTCATCCTTGCCAGCCCCTGCCAGACCAAAAGGGGTGTATCTACCCGATGTGACACTGACAGAAAACATCTGTATCGGGTTAGAGCTTAGGGGAGACACCTGTACCACCTCAAGAGCGAGATTCTTTTTTTCTTTCTTTTTTTAAAATTTTATTTATATATATATATATATATATATATATATATATATATATATATATATTATAGTCTCACATAATTATCCTTATTCCCCCATTCCCATCCCAAACCCATCCCTAGATATGCCCCCTGCCCCAAGAGCAGAGATTCTTAACTGGAGGGTCCAAGGCCTGGCTCACAGTGTCTGCACAGTACAGTGTGCATGGACACCAGGTGAACTCCTTTGCAGGTTTCAAAGGGTAACCTTCATCCAACCTGTAAGAGGTTGTATGTGAGGGTGTGTGTGAGACTGTGTGAGGGTCTGTGTGACTGTGTCTGAGGGTGTGTGAGGGTGTGTGTGAGGGTCTGTGATGGTGTGTGTGTGTATGTGAGGGACTGTGAGGGTGTGTGTGAGGGTCTGTGAGGGTCTGTGAGGGTCTGTGATGGTGTGTGTGAGGGTGTGTAAGGGACTGTGAGGATGTGTGTGAGGGTCTGTGAGGGACTGTGTGAGGGTCTGTGAGGGTGTGTGAGGATGTGTGTGAGGGTCTGTGAGGGACTGTGTGAGGGTCTGTAAGGGACTGTGTGAGGGTGTGTGAGGGACTGTGAGGGTGTGTGAGGGTGTGTGTGAGGGTGTGTGTGAGGGTCTGTGAGGGACTGTGAGGGACTGTGTGAGGGTGTGTGAGGGTCTGTGAGGATGTGTGAGGGGGTGTGTGAGGGTCTGTGAGGGCCTGTGAGGGACTGTGTGAGGGTCTGTGAGGGTCTGTGAGGGACTGTGAGGGACTGTGTGAGGGTGTGTGTGAGGGTGTGTGAGGGTCTGTGAGGGTGTGTGAGGGGGTGTGTGAGGGTCTGTGAGGGACTGTGTGAGGGTCTGTGAGGGTGTGTGAGGGACTGTGTGAGGGTCTGTGAGGGACTGTGTGAGGGTCTGTGAGGGACTGTGTGAGGGTCTGTGAGGGTCTGTGAGGGACTGTGTGAGGGTGTGTGAGGGACTGTGTGAGGGTCTGTGAGGGACTGTGTGAGGGTCTGTGAGGGTCTGTGAGGGACTGTGTGAGGGTCTGTGAGGGTGTGTGAGGGACTGTGTGAGGGTCTGTGAGGTTGTGTGAGGGTCTGTGAGGGTCTGTGAGGGACTGTGTGAGGGTCTGTGAGGGACTTGTGAGGGTCTGTGAGGGTCTGTGAGGGTCTGTGAGGGTCTGAGGGACTGTGTGAGGGTGTGTGTGAGGGTCTGTGAGGGTGTGTGAGGGTGTGTGTGAGGGTCTGTGAGGGTGTGTGTGAGGGTGTGTGTGAGGGTCTGTGAGGGACTGTGAGGGTGTGTGTGAGGGTGTGTGTGAGGGTCTGTGAGGGACTGTGTGAGGGTCTGTGAGGGTCTGTGAGGGTCTGTGAGGGACTGTGTGAGGGTCTGTGAGGGACTGTGTGAGGGTCTGTGAGGGTCTGTGAGGGACTGTGTGAGGGTCTGTGAGGGTGTGTGAGGGACTGTGTGAGGGTCTGTGAGGGTCTGTGAGGGACTGTGTGAGGGTCTGTGAGGGACTGTGAGGGTGTGTGAGGGACTGTGAGGGACTGTGTGAGGGTCTGTGAGGGTCTGTGAGAGTGTGTGAGGGTGTGTGTGAGGGTCTGTGAGGGACTGTGTGAGGGTCTGTGAGGGTGTGTGAGGGACTGTGTGAGGGTCTGTGAGGGACTGTGTGAGGGTCTGTGAGGGTCTGTGAGGGTGTGTGAGGGTGTGTGTGAGGGTGTGTGTGAGGGTCTGTGAGGGACTGTGTGAGGGTCTGTGAGGGTCTGTGAGGGTGTGTGAGGGGGTGTGTGAGGGTCTGTGAGGGACTGTGTGAGGGTCTGTGAGGGTGTGTGAGGGACTGTGTGAGGGTCTGTGAGGGACTGTGTGAGGGTCTGTGAGGGACTGTGAGGGTGTGTGAGGGACTGTGAGGGACTGTGTGAAGGTCTGTGAGGGTCTGTGAGAGTGTGTGAGGGTGTGTGTGAGGGTCTGTGAGGGACTGTGTGAGGGTCTGTGAGGGTGTGTGAGGGACTGTGTGAGGGTCTGTGAGGGACTGTGTGAGGGTCTGTGAGGGTCTGTGAGGGTGTGTGAGGGGGTGTGTGAGGGTCTGTGAGGGA